AAACAACATCAATTCCTTAATTGTCTGCGGTTTCAGTGAGCCCCGGCGATAATGGCAGATATCACGCGCAGAGTTAAATAACCGCTCAACGCCAGAACCACTGGCTGGTGTTGTAAGGATGTCTCGAGCAAGGCTTGCCAGAATAGGATATTCATTTTGGTGTTCTTTCCAGAAAACGAGAGGGGTTGCTTCGACAGTACCTAGTGAGGGTGGTATAAGAGAAGGAGTATATAAGAAGAGGTATATAGATTAACTTACTACTTCTAAGATACCGTGTAAGCTCATCTGGAGCCGTCACGTTTGACTGAAGAGATACAGTAGGTCTCAGAAGGATATCAATGTCAGAGACGTCTTAAATTGTGGGCTGGAGAGTTGATGTAGACTATGCCTCTTCGTAGCGCTGCCGGTAAGGCTGAATGTAAGCCTCTAGCGACTGCTTATAGCGAGGCCCCCAGTGAGGTTCCCATTCAGATGTTGTGAAGAACTCTAGCTTGTTCCGTGGTCCTAGGATAGTCGCAATTGCATAGAGATCACCAGGAATATCATCAGTCTTTCCATAATACTCTGTAAGCTTATCGCGCGCACGGTCAAGCGCGGACTTCATCACTCTCTTCCAACCAACCTTCTTTCGCGCTAGCTGCACTTTCGCCTTATCAATATGTGTGAATAGGGCGTTATAGATACCAAAGACGTTATGGATAGTCACGTCTGTAGTTGCCGAAAGAGACGAAGTGAATTTGAAGAAGGGATAAGTGATTGACAGAAGATAGTCAACTTGTCGCCATTCATCTCTGTCTATCTTTACATCAGCGAGGTTGAATTGGACACAGAAGTCATCAAAGGCAGACTGCAATCGCCGGGCACGCCTAAGCATGAGGAACGTCGAATTCCATCGTGTCCGAACATCTTGTATAGGCATAAGCTTAGGCTCTTTCGTCTGAAGCCTTATGAAGCTCTCGCGGCGCTGGGGACTTTTGTTGATGTAGACTGCTACCTTCCGAACCTAGAATATAGTGCGAGTTAGTAAAGAAAGAGAGATAATAGTAAGAGATTAGAGAGAGCTAGACCTTGTTCAGAGTATCCACGATCTTTCTATTCTCTTGCCGAGCTATATGCCCTTTCTCGGTCCATTCAATCTCTTCCCTCTCGTTTCCTGGGTTCGCGTCCATCTGACCAAGGAGCTCCTTCAAACTGAGCTGTATAACATGTGCAATACATGGTATACGAATAACCGGTATACTACTAGGTAGCTGTAGGGATTCGACGACCTCTTGAAGGCTACCGAGTAATGTTCCGTTATTAGATGCGTTATCAGTAGTAATAGTTAACACCCTCTCAGTAATCCGATGCTTCTCAAGAAGGTCAAGCAGGACAGTGCTTAGATAGGCCCCCGTATATGAGCCCTGTAGAGGTTCAAAGCCAAGCAAGAGCTCTCGGTAATTCCACTCTTGGTCAATGAAATAGCCCGTTATTGCCATAAAAGCTTGGCGAAATGGTGAGGTCCAGCAATCTAATGCAATAGAGAGCTTAGCACTATTAGGAAGCTTCTGTAGAAGAGTATACTGGCGTTCTTCCACGATCTCTTGAAGATGACGGCGGACTGTGGTTGCAGTTGGGATTTCGGGGAAGCAGGGAGCAAGCCGGGCCATCTCAAGAAGGGCGCGAAATTCAGGATGCTCAATAAGCTGGAAGGGTAGCCGCGAGGCAGCAATAAAGGTAATTAACCTTTCCATCCAAGCTTGCGGCGTAAATGATGCTTTACGAGACGACAGATATGCCTAGAAGGGGTATTTTATAAGATTAGTAATAATTAGAAAAAGGTAGACTGATTATCCATACCCCGTTCTTGATAGCCTTCCTAATATCTTGCGACTGAGTCGGTCCTCTCCGACAGGCACCTACTTACGAATAATGCCTATTCATAGTAGATGTTCCCCGGCGCTTATCGGCAGGATGGGCAAGGATATGGTCGCAATTCTTGCATATTACCTTAGGAGACCCATCCTGGATAGTAGCGACCTGGTAGAAGTGGTCCCAACATTCTGCATTGCGTCTACCCTCAAAGATATTCCGTTTCATCTTACTTCCATACTCCGTCTTTAACCACCAGACGATGAAATCCTCATTCGCCATTTCTGTCCAGAGGATATAGTTTTTCCTTTTAGGAGGACCAACGCGTTCGAGTGTTTCTGGGATAACAGGAGGAATCGCCGGTCGGAGTAAGTTCACGTTAGGAGTAGAAGTTGGCGTTTCGCGCCCGTCGAGGTTAAACAGCCCATCAGATGTGATGAAGGAGAAAGTATCTCGTGGATTATCCTCAAAAGCCGATGAGGGATACTGATCAGAGAACTGAGAGGAGGCCTGACTCTGTAACATTTTGACGAAATGAGTATAGGATAGGACGGGGGAGGTAAAGGACTTAAGGAGATACCTGCTAAAATATTTCCGTCTACTAGAAAAAGCTGAATAAAGGATTTTCTCTAGGAGAAAGCTATAGGCATGATTTAGATAGATCAAATTGAATTGTAATAGTGATTAGGCAGTAGGCTCCACTTTACTACAATCCGATAGGATAAGGGCTACGAAGACCGCAGAAGACCGCATAGAACCGCAGGAAAAACCGCGATAGACCGCATAGAGGGCTGCAAAGACCGCAGAAGACCGCATAGACAGCTAGTAGGAAATACTATGATTGACCGCAGAGGACCGCAGAGAACCATGAGGAGGACCGCACAGGACCGAAAAGGACCGCTAGAAGGCCCATATAATAGTATAATCCTCCTTTTCTTTCTAAGTCTACACTTCATATCAGAGAAACCAATTTTGAAAAGAGATTATTATGATATATTAGTAGTAGAATATAGAATTTCAAGATAAATAGTTAACTAGAGAATCTAAGCTCTCTGATAATACCCTTAATACCTATTTTAGCTGTATGTAGGGGGTTATGTACACTCAACGAAGAAGTCTCAGATGAAGATAGGGTCAGGTACTGATATCGAAATATATATTTCTTACCTCATACACCTAGCCAGCAATAATTATTACTAAACCTCTCTATTAGAACTTAGAAATATACTAGTACTGGCAGGTCTAGGTATTTTAAATAGTAGATTTTCTATATACGAGTATATTTCATCTGTTTTCATAGTGGCTGATGCTGAAATACAGTAAATGTTTATGAAGGGACCAAAACAGTGTTTAATAACAGTAATTAAATGGGATGAATCATCAATTTATGTAGCCGAAAAGAGAAGGTCTTGGTAGAATTATGCAATTGCGGTTCACCGTGGTGAAGACCGCAAGGGACCGCGGTTCACTATGGTGCGGTCTCAACCCCCGAATTCGAGACCGCAAGACCGTGCGGTCCGGTCCGCGGTCCTCGACCTAAGGACCAAGACCGCACCATGCAGAGGCCTAGTTGTCAGTCCCAGGCCGAAGGGACGAGCGAGAACCAGTGAGGCTGATTTTGATCGCTGCATCGTAGCCTAAGTCAAATATCCAGTAATATTCAGAACTGTTTAGCGTATGCTTGTATAAAAATGCTTTTTTGACTTAGTGAACTATCTCCTTTTTGTACGTAATCCCACCTGTGTAATTCATTTTGACTTTATTAGTTGATACTATTAATCTTTACGTGAATATATGCTCGTCCAATCATTAAACCGTACCCCGCACTGGCTGATCTTAGCAGACATGCATGTGTACGTTCATGTGTGCCTTTTCAAAGCTAAGCGTTTGACATCTATGTTGATACTTAGGTACAATTCACTCTTCGTGCTTGTTTCGTTTCAGGGCCACAGCGTGCGACAGCGCGCGTCACCATTTCTAAGAGAATAGTGTTCACGGAGATAGACAAGAAGTAAGGAATAAATAGTAAACGAAGTTAAGGAGGCGACTAGAAGTAGATATAACGTGGAGGCTCTACGGTAGCTAATAAGGCCTAATATAGTAATAGTCTAACTAGAGTCATTAAGATCGCGCTACGAAGTAAGAGATATAAGTATATACGTATAGCTTTCTCGGTATTAACTACATACTATTAATAAAAAGGGAAATACTATTTATGGTTAGTGCTAATACCGGTTAATAGACTAGACCTACTATTTAAAAATTATTACTCTATACGAATTTCTATCTATATAGAATATACGTAATTAGGCTAGCCCTAGGGAAAGGGCTAGTCCGACGTAACTCTATAACTACGCCCCGCTAAACTAAATGTAGAACCTAAGAGGGGAGAATAAAACCTTAAGGCTATTTTCTCTCTTAACTCTAGCCTATTCGCTCTTGAGCTCTATCTCTTTATATTTTACTATTAGGGGTTTTTATTAGGGTCTTTCGCTACTTTAGTTAGATACCTTTAATAAAGTAGGTAAAAGGTTTATGGATTAGAAAGGTAATCATGCCTAGAGCTAGTTTTGATAATTAAGAAGGTCCGGAGTAAGCTACGCGGGATTAGAGGTATTTAACTACACGAAGAGTATTAGAGAATAGAGTCCTAGATAAATATAGTATGACCGGAGCTATATAAGCTATATAGGGTACTTGGGCACGGATCCTTTCTAGTAGTCTACTCTATCTAATTATTTATATATAGAGTATATCGAACTTTCATGCGCGGTGCATAAAGTCTCTTTACATATAAGAAGCGTATATGTATAGAATAAGAAGATCGGGTGAAGAAAGACTAGATATAAGATAGCAAGATATCAGCTAATTAGACTAGGGCGACTAAGTAGTGGTCTAGTATAGTTAAGTATACCTACCTAGTTGAAGACACTTGCATTTCATACTCGAATGTTGTGGACCATTCGAAGCGTAGCACTTCGGATGCGCTTGTGTCGAATTCTACTGATGCTGGGTGTTTTGGCGGTTTGATCTCATGCTCCACCACCTTTGGTGGGTCTTCCAACGGAACTTGCGTCAAATACTCAGAGTCTAGTGATGGTGACCAGGCCTCGGTCACCAAGCGAGCCACTTGCAATCAAGTCCCAGCGATGTTCTACAACTGTGGCGGAGACTTTTTCAAGCGCGTTACAGTTGAGAATCAAAACCAGAATACCAATCAACTTACAGATAGTTACACGGCAACTAGTATGGCTCCTCGCCCTGATTTGCTAAGCTTTGCTAACCGTAGCCTCCAGGTATCTGCGACAATGTTTTTGACTATATCCAGAATGGTATAGCCAGCCAAGGTACCAGTTTCCCTGGTGAAATCACAAATCAGCAGACTGGTGAAGCATACATAGTCTTGAACTACATCTCCAATTACGAGAACGCAGGCGGAAACCGTCAGGACTCATGTGGCTTGGACGGTGGAGGAACTGGGCAGTGCTCTGCCCTCAAACAATCGCTGTGGCCTATAGCTGTGTCCGATCAGAAGAATCTGGGCAAACTAGCGACACAGGACTACAAGTTGATACAGGGATATACGGAGAGCATGTCCTGCGATGAATTTCCATGTAAGTTGAGTCCTTCTACTACCTATTGCTAAGCGACAACCTTCACTAATTCGGGATTCCTGCGACTAGTTAATTCGTGAGTCTGATTTCGCTTCCCCTTCTGTCTGTCTTTGATCATTACTATGAGTTGTTACTAATCATTGGGTTCTATCCTCATGCAGTGCTGAGGAGGGTGGCTAGGTGCAGTAAGACTTCCCATCTAACTGAAACGCCTACTTTACAGTTGCTGATGAACCCCGGATGGGAGATAGAACGTCGCTTGTGTTGGAAAGGCCCAGCAAGACTACCAAAGACAGATCAACAACCTCATGATTAACATCAAGGATATAGTGAGTCGTTGCTTCAGACCCTCTATCTCAGGGATAAATCTAAGCTTCTGTCTAGAATTACTAACGGAAGTGGTCGCAAGTCGGCGGGAGTAATCCCAAAACCTGGGGCGGAAGCCCCCGGACATTCACCTTGAATCTTGTTCACAACACGGAAGGTCGGCCTCTAGCGGGAGGTGGTGATTATTCCTTGACGAACAGTATGCCATGGAGCCAAGTCATTGGTGGTATCAACCTGCAGGACAATCCCAACCTTACACTGAACGGGAAAAACGCCGTTTGCGCTATCGACGGCTTGGGTGAGAAGTGGGACAATGGTGACAAAATTTACAAGCACTACTTTGTTGGGTGCTTTGTGATTTTCATTTCGTCGGCTGTGCCATACAAGCGTGATGCGCCAGTGAATTGGGAAGTTGAGGGTGCGTTGGCTAACATCTTCCACGGTTCCCTATGATTGATGGTTTGTTGAACTAACATATTTTGTAGAGGTGCGCTTATCTGACGATTGGCGAGAGACCATGATCGGTGTTGATGAAGCTGATCTGGGCGATTACCTGACTGATGGAGTTCCAGATATATTGAGACAGGGCCGTACTCTTCCGTCAGAGGTGCACAAGAAATCAGATCACCTAAAGCATCGCAGCCATGCAAGGCATCATGGTCATTGAGTGAAGGCCTGACCACCAAACCTCTCTCATATAAATTCTAATTCAGGAATCAATTGAAAATTTCATACTCATCATTCAAAATTTGGTTAGTATAATGATTCTGTGCATAGACAGAAATGGTAATTGAACATCATTTACCTCAATGCACAATTTCGGTTTCTCGCGATGTAAAGGAGAAAATATTGGAACTCGGAAAGCTATCCAATATTCCTAGTAGAAAGGTGAACTTCATGACCATGGTTTGACTCTTAAGAGGTCAGTTTCAAGGTTTTAGTGGAGCAATTCCTGTCCTGGATTGGTTTCCAGACAAAATGTAAAGTTAGCTAGTTACTACGCGTCTTCCGGATCTCGAGACGGGCTTATTTCTTCTGCCCGGAATGTCCTATAATCTGTGCCAATTCTCAGTTGCCACGATCCTCCCATTCATCTATTTTTACGTACTTGACATTCTCATCCTCGGGGGTTGAATTTCGGGCTTAGTATCGACTCTCGGTTTCAAGATTGGAACCACGGAAGAAGGACTATTGTGAAATCTGGACCGGTATAATAAGAATCTTCTAAGCGAAGGTATTGCGATAGTCCAAGTCATTGTGTGAATTGGTCGGGGCTTCCTGGAGTACTATGCTTGATTATTCATGCACAGGTGTACTAATCTCACGCTTAGGGGAGATTCGATCGAATTTCATAGGCGTCGTCAGGTTCAACCAAATTAGCATGATCATAGTCGGCCTCCATGCCTGCAGCCTCCATCTCCAGATATCCAGGGGCGTAGATTCCAATATCCTCCTCCCATCCATCTCTCGCGCCATCGAATCCGAATTGAAACTCGTCACGCTCACTTGCCCCCTCCAAGATGTCAATCACACGGAGAGTCATGTCCAAGCTGCTGGAAGTTAGCAAATCACACCATCAAACATCCGTCAGGTCAACATACTCAGTATTCATATAATCTTGGCCCCCAACATCATCGTTATCAACTTGCTCCACACATCTCGAATCACAGAAAAGGTACTGATAAACAGGATTCATGTTATAGGCTCTGCGACGGACAGCTATATCAACCTGACCATTGTGCTTGAAGTCTACCGTCGTAATCAGACCCGCATCGAGATCTTGTTGCGTAACAACAAACCAGTTCTTCAATTGTCGAACGTAGAGAACAGTCCCTTGGCGGGTCATGGTGATATGTTCAAAGTTAGCCATTTCAAGAACAGCTCTCGGCAGTACATCGGTTAGCTGCACGTCGGAAAGGTCGTGGACGGTTGCCGGGTTGGGATCAAGGCTGCCGTGATCGAATCCCATGTCGTCCATGCAGTGCCCCGTTTCTCCGTCTAGCCGGTAGGCGAGAATATTGAGTTTGATCCATTTTGATCTGTTGACTGGGTGAGATGGGCCCAGTGGTGCGAGGCACACGAGTTGTGGCGTGTCATAGTTATAGTGGTCGTTTTCCAGGGTGTTCTTTGGGTACCGTGACGCGCTGTATGTTGCATCCTTTGTTGGGGCTCTTTGGTGGTATGACTTATGTAATGTCAGCATTTAATGCCTCTTTTTCTCCATTTATAACATTGCCTCAGGAAAGCATGTTGGACATACGTCGCGGAATTCCTGACTGGCCTTTGCCCAAGTTTCCACCAAGCTTCGGCGTTGGCGAACTTCGTAATCTCCTTCCTCGTCGGGGACATTGGCATTGTCACGGGGGACCCATTTTTCCTACAATCAGTTAGCGACAAAAAGTACACATCATGCAATCGCAATCGCATCTTCTCACCTCTACAAAAAGTAGCCATCCTTTAGCCTGCTCGTTAATTTCGTCGCGTGTGATATCGCCGTTAGGGTCCGCTTTGACCTCGGCAGGGATACCGCCTGGCCAATGAAACGGCTTGGAAGGGAGAGCGACCATAATGTTGCCCTTAAGATAGTCAGCGGATGTCGGAAGTGCTGGAAGCAATCAATTAGCGAAATAGGCCGATTTGAATTTTGGCCGGAAGATTGCGGTCGGCGGCATACTTAAAAGACCGACTGAGCGGATTCCGTTAGGTGCACTAAGCTAGCGCTAGTTAGTTAACTAACTAACTTAACTTAACGTTAGTTATATTAGTGACCTGACTAAGTGGGGGGCGAGGTACTCTGTACAGTATGTATTATTGAATTATTGAAGACTGTAAGAAGGATTTCGATTTACGGACTGAACCCACTCACTTGAAAATGTTCGGCCTGAGGCACTATTAAGTGATTTTATTAGCACTTGACTAGAATTTGATGTGGAACAACTTTTACGAGCCTAGGTCGAAGCTGATAAATTTAATTTGCCTTTTCCAGTTTGAATTGATGAAGCCCCCAAAAATTCATCGAGGCGTTCTAATCAAGCGTTCATCATATCTGTCTCCTATGGCTGCACATATGTTAGGTCATCGCCTCATTTCTCTACTTCGCATTCATGAAACTCAAAATTTGGTTGACTGGAAGTTCATTGCGACGGATTTTTGATGCTTAACGTATGGCTCCTGTTTACCACAGTAATTCAGCACATATTGCAATCACCACCGAGCCACCCTTCTACTTCTGCGCCCGGGCCCTTCAATGTGGAGATCTCCCTCCACGCGCCCGTCCTGATGATGAATTGGGACCCAATTTATAATGTTCTCATAAGACAGAAAGCATCTCTACAGACCTACTTCCCGAGATGTGATGCACCTGCTGTGTCTATCTCGTTGTTAGAGTTGGATATAACTGGCATTGGGAATGAGATGTAAGCGGACTCGATACTAGGATCTCATACTGAAGACGTTGGGTTACTCCGAATACATAGATTTGTCGTCAAACGTGAATAGTTTACCGTATAAAGAATCCAATTTGAGTTTGTTTGTGAGTAGGTTACACCTGAACTCCATATATGAGTGCTCTATCCACTATGAGGTTTGTACCGCTGATAGAGGAGGCTCTTGGGCTCGCGAGAAACAATACCGCATTCGCAACATCTTCCGGTCGCCCTATTCCACCACCCATAGGGTTTTTTTAACTGCTAAAACCAATATGGGCCTACTTTCTCATACTTTCCCCATATATGTGTAATATAGATATTTCCAGGGCTCACGGTATTCGTTCTGATCTTATGAGGAGCCAGTGTATAGGGCAATTAAGAGGCAAAGTGAGTCGTGATAGCTTTGAATATTTCTCAAGGCCCTAGTGAGTTGTGATCAACTTGTCTGCCAAAAGTTGATCTGGTAGGTACAATATATACTTCGGATTTTGCAAGCGCTGGTACGGTGCTGTTGACGAGGTTGACCAGTCCAAACATATCAGATCCGGCTAAACGATGGCGTTCCGCTTGGCGGGGACTCCACCTCGGGCTGGGCTCCTGTTTACTTTGCTTCGTCATATCTGTCAACTAAACTTGTCCTCTTTCTCTCCTTCACCCACCCTCTCCACCCTCTCCACCCTCTCCACCCCTCAATAACTCGTTCTATTACTCGCCTTACCACGGCGCCAGCTAAAACCATGGCTATCGCTGGCGCCCAACGAAAACAGGTCCTCAAAGTATTGATGATCTCACTTCTACTGGACCTCGTATGATCCCCCTCCATCTCAAGCCAATTCCGCGCACTTCCAGAGCAAACGCTAACCCCCCCACCAACCAACGCCTAGATCTCCTTCACATTCATCCTCCCCTTATTCCCCTCCCTCCTCGCCTTCTACCGCGCCCAAGACCCATCCTCAACCTCCCTTCTCAACCGCATCTTCCACTACCTAAACGCCTACAAAAACGCCTTCGCCCGCCCCATCGACTCACGCTACGACATCGTCCTCCTCGGCGGAGCCCTAGGCTCCCTCTTCTCCCTCCTCCAAGCCATCGCCGCCCCGATCATCGGCCACCTCTCCGACCGTCATGGTCGTCGCCGCGCCCTATTAACCGCAATGGTCGGGAACATCTGCAGCGTCGCGCTGTGGGTGTCTGCAACGGACTTCCGCACCTTCCTGGCTAGTCGGGTCGTTGGCGGGCTGAGCGAGGCGAATGTTCAACTGGCTAATGCGATCGTCGCGGATGTCACGGATGAAACGCGTCGGGGCGCGTCGATGGCGCTGGTCGGCGCTTGTTTTAGTATTGCGTTTACGTTTGGGCCGATGCTCGGGGCGGCGTTGAGTTCGGTGGAGATTGTTGCGGCGAATCCGTTTATTACTGCTGCGCTTGTTTCGCTGGTGTTGATCTTTGTGGAAACGGTTTATTTGTGGGCTTGTTTGCCGGAGACGCATCCGCGGCTTACGACGTTGGAACGGGAGGAGGGCACCGAGTCTGACGGAGGGAAGAAGAGTGAGGCGAAGATTGAGAAGTCTCGAGGATATACGAATAACCCGGCTCTTCTCAATGCTGTCCACTTCCTGTTCCTCCTGCCGTTTTCCGGCCTGGAGTTCTCTTTGCCGTTCTTGACGGCGACACTCTACGCCGGAACAACTACGGCTAGCCCGGCGGCTTTGAACGGCCGCCTCCTTTCCTTGATGGGTCTGATTGCATCACTTCTCCAGGGCACGCTTGTCCGCCGTCTACCTCCATTGGTCACGGTACGAGCTGGAGTCGTCGCCTGCACGCTATCATTCTTCTGTCTAGCGCGCGTCTCCTCGCCATCAGGCCTTTACGCCGCGGGCGGTTTATTGGCCGTGACGAGCGCGACCGTAGTCACAGGTCTGAACAGCCTGGGCAGCTTCGAGGCCCGGGATGCTGATCGCGGTGCTGTCATGGGTCGACTCCGTGGCTGGGGTCAGGCAGGACGTGCGGCTGGACCGATCTTGTTCTGCACGCTGTTCTGGTGGGCTGGGCGTGAAGCAGCCTATACCGTTGGTGGTTTGGCTATGTCTGTCGTGGCCGTGGCGGTGTTTGGCTTATTGAAATCGCCTTCGTTGCATGCCAAGACGGAGTAAATGTGTTCTTTGTATCCGGATTACAGGCCGCTAGTCGGTACTGTACACATTGATGTTCTTGAAGGACCAATTTGAGATTGTCCTCGGTAATGGACAAATCTCTCGAGTAGCCGTATTGCGGCTTGTTGTATTACTAGTTGAGCAAATATATTCAAAAATATGCATATCAGCCTGCAGCAGGATTAACGCAAGCCTCCACCTGACATGACAGCTTCTCCGTGCAACTTAATCCCAAAGAGAGATATTCTGCACAAAATGATAAAAACCTCGTCTGAAAATAAACTCGGGTGGATCCATCAGCCGCTGCTGACAAATCGACAGCCGTTGCAGCCGCGGCGATCTATAAGCAGCCTCGAACACGCAATTTCAGAGCTTAAACCAAAAAACCTAGTGGCCTCCAAAAGTACTAGTTAGATCTCATTGCCCCTCTCGTATTCTCCTCTTCTTCACTCCTCCTCCCCCAATCCTCCCCATCTATCTACCCAAAACACAAACACATCACATCATGACCAACTTCAAGATCCAGATCATCTCTGACACCATCTGTCCCGTACGTCACCTCCCGCTCTCCATCTTTATCTCCATCTGTACCCTCCATACTAATCCCCCCTCCAGTGGTGCTACGTCGGATACAGACGCCTCTCCCGCGCAATAACAGCCCACACAAGCAAAAACCCCCAAGACACCTTCACTCTCACCTGGAACGCATTCTACCTAAACCCTGCATCCCCCGAATTCCCGGGCGTCAACAAAGCCGAAATGTACGCCGTGAAATTCGGGCCCGAGCGCGGCGGCTATCTTCTCCCGTCTCTCTGCCGTGGGCGAGGGCGAGGGTATCAAGTTTAATTTTGGTGGGAATACGGGGAAAACGCGTGATTCGCATCGTTTGCTTTGGTATGCGGGGGGAGGTAGAGGAGGCTAAGCGTGCGAATTCGAATGTGCCTGCACCTCCTTCTGCTTCTGGCGCTGGCGCTGGCTCTCCGGTGGTTGGCGGTTTACAAACCCGCGTTGCGGAGAAATTGTTCCGCGCGTACTTTGAGGATGAGAAGAATATTACTGATCCACGGGTATTGCTGGAGGCTGGTGTTGAGGCGGGATTGGACCGGGAGGAGGTGAAGAAGCTATTGGATTCGGAGGAGGGAGGGGCTGAGGTTGATTCTGAGGCCAAGACTGCGTCGAGACGGTTGGTTACTGGGGTGCCGTATTTTTCCATTCAGGGTAAGTATTCGGTGGAAGGGGCGGATGAGCCTGAGACGTTTTTGGAGGTTTTTGAGCAGGTTAAGGAGGATGAGAATGTTTAGTGTTTGGAGTTCCAGTTTGGGAACAAGGCTTTATGAGCTAGGTTAATAGGGTGATAGTGTGATTTAATGGTTTTATACTCCACTGATGATGATCACTAATGGATCTAGGATATCAACTTTCATGACGGTAATATGGTATTTGCAGGGATTTGATATACGCTATTAGCGCGGATATATTGTATAAAAAGACCGATTCGATGTCACTAAATTCTGTGAGAAACCTAGCTCTCTGAATCAGAGATACCAGCAAGGCTTTCCAAGTACCGAGCCCTAATCTGCTCACAGACTCCCCAAATTCTTCTCCGATTGGCGAGTCCCAGAATAAAATCATCATTCTCAGATGTATAAGCACTCTTCTTCTGGATATCCAAAAGCAGCCCGGACGCTCTATCCTCCGATTTTTGCGATTGAAAAATATTGATATCGTGAATCTCCCATAGCCACGGCATCTCAGCACTTAACTTCTCTCTCCAAAAGTCAGCTGAAAAAGTCGTAAGATGCATCGCCCATGATGCAGCCTTTAAAGCAAGAATAGAACCAGCAGGAAGGAGCTTGAAAATATCATGCCGAAGCTCATACGGGAGCTTATCGAAAATATCTTCCTTTGATGGAGTCTGTTTCGGAATGGCCTTCTGATCCAAAGACTGCTTGATAAGATCAAGATCGGCATCGATCTGCGGAATTTCAACCGGATTGACCACCAGAAGCTGATCTCAGTCAGTACTTTCCATTCCTTCGTCCAGGGTCCCGTAATGAACTTACTTCATGACCTTTTTGTTGATACCAAATCTGTTCCGCAGGAGGCTTTGGCTGCCCATAATCAAGCTGCAACCTGACGTGCCGCCTGCACCCTTTGAAGCGCCTTTGAGAGTAATTTGACATACATTGATGGAGGAAATGTCTTAAGAGGAGCATTCTGGCGAAAATCCTTGGTGATGGTATAGCGACAACCCGCTTAGATGTGAACTCGGCTTATTAGGACTCGATCTACCGCACTCGATCTTGTTAATATTCAGGTTTATTTGGCTTCTCGGTAACAAATGCACTCCAATGTAAATACTCCAAACAAACCTGTCGTTAATCGAGAATGAAGCTATTTTCTTGACCAGAATCGGTTTTAGATCAGACCAAGAGCCCAGTCAGCTATAACAGCTGGCCTTGGACGACTTTTATAGATTTTCATTCAAACTATACGAGGTACTTCGTGATAATAAACTAGATTCAGACACTGCTCTAATATTAGGGCCTGGAGTGGGAACCATGGCGTAACGATGGCGGGATCCAGGTACTTAGAAGACAAGGCGTCTACATTTCGGGGCATTATGTCGAAAAGCTACTCTTGCACCGAAGAATTCTATACAGGCTGATATTTGCTTAGAATAGAACCTTTTAATGCTCAGGTATGTTAATTGAAAGTCTCTGTAACAAGCGTGGTATGCTCCGTTTGGTAAATTGTAATGACACGAATTTCGAATCTAAGGTAGCGAAGTCAAGTAAATGTCGTATACTGACATGCACGTAAGGCCCATTTCGTGCGTAGAGAAATTATATAGTAGAAAGGCAATTCAGAGGAACCAGTATCAGTGTGCTTTCAAAACGCCGAGTCGGGGCATTCTTGCGATCCAGGCTTATCTTTCGCATCGATGGTAAGCGATAGTGCCTTTCGGAGGTGGCAATTTTCTTGTTCGAGGTAATTAACGTCTCGTCTGAGGCGACGATTCTGGGCATTGGTCACAGCTACCAGAGTAGACCATATCCATATAGGGGGTGATCGTTGGAAAAACTGATGAGTAGTATGGAGCAGTCTTCTGAACATTTTAGCAGTTGAAAGTGAATAGTAGTTCATAAGGAATGAAAGCGAGAAGGGATGCTCGGAGGAAAGTGGGCAGTAGGAATATTCACTACGATGGTGATTCAAAAATCTTGATTCGGAGTCTAAAGAGATAGATACTAAGCTCAATCTGGGTGTCAGACCCCGAACGGACTACTATAATGGCAGCATCTCAGTCGACCGAAGGGTTTTAGTTCGGAGTCCAAAAGAGATTACTACTACGCTCAATTGGGGTTTGGGTCAGCCATCAGACCCTAAATGTAATATCCGTCGACCAAAAGGGTTATCAATAGCCCAGTCTTTGACTCCATGATATAGGGATGATGTCGGATTATTATAACTGGGTATTCGTAAGTCAGATGCAGTGAAAACCTCCACAGGGTCGCAAGGATATGGAATAACCACTTCCCGGATTCCTTATAAATTCCACTTCTTTCTATAGGGTCTAAACCCCACCAGATCTGATTTTTACTTTAAAAAAACCAGATTATCTTTTTATTACACCTTACATTGACACGATTAGGATCAAAAATAACAAAAAAGGAATGACCAGACTGGGGTTCGATCCCAGGACCTTATCGGTGTTAACGATACGTGATAACCAACTACACCATCCGGCCTCTTGTATATATTACAGGCCCAGTTTCTTTGTCTATAAATAAAATACACATCCATCTCCCAAACTTATCTTTCTTCGCCAGATGTTTATGTGAATATCCATGCTTTAATTATCGCTATGATCATGATAATCTTTGCAATTATTGTCTGGATGGTTTATGTGGGGCTGAGGGCAAGTTATCAACTATCAAGTACCCCTGTCGTTAACTTTGTCCTCCAGTGGAATAAGATGGCGATTAGGCTAAGCATCAACGCCAGAGATACAGTTACGTCACTCGATCGGGGGCTAAACAACATGTCCGAATTACCAATTTTGTGGTAAATTATCACTTACATATCGTGAATTATTATTTACAATATCAATGTCGAGTTACGAGTTAGGTTGGTGACTGTAGGAAGCGTTGTGGAAGAACATATCAGTGCCTTACTGCGCACCCACCGCTTTCGCTTATGGGTGCGCCCGCAATCCTGACCTTTCCGCAATCCTGACCATTTGGTATAGATATTGTCAAATTTAACCACCTAACTATCTAATTATCAATAAAAAAAACCTCTCCTGCTTCTCTTGCTTCTCTCTCATTTAAAATTACCCTTTGCATACTCTCCTCTGACCGCTTAGTAGGTGTGTAGCCATACAGCTTCTTGAACTGCCTAGCCAGCTTCCTTTCCTCCTTCGCTAATTCCTCCCCCTTCCTAGTCACAATCGATCGATTCGAATCGCGTGTAGTCAATATACCAGTCTGGCTAAGCAATTTAACCTATCGCTTAGTCTTTCGACGTTGATTTAGCCGTTACGCGGCTTATATACGCTGAATTGTATCCCTCGTCATCTCTAGTTCTTCCGCCACGCCTTTTGCATAGGATAAGACCCTAGTGATATTTCGCTTCAATTTATCATCCACCTCATCAAGATATTTAGTAATCTTATCCTGATTTCGTACTAGTGCTTCAATAGACTTTAGAGGGCTATTTTCAACACTAGAAGACGAGAGATTTAGTGGTGGTGATAGTGTATGCGAATACCATAAGCGAAGGTCTGGTGCGATTAGGTCAGGGATTACCAATTACTTAGTAAGATCTGCCATAATCTTAGTACCATCAACAGGATAGATCCCACGGTCTTTGAAGGATTCACGGATAATTCGTTACGAAAAGGCCTTCTTGCGAATTAGTCCAATTATCCCTAGGAAATCTGATTTCCCATACGGCTCGCCGCCCCAGAAAGATAGCTCGTTATTCATTAACCGAAATTGCTGCTTATAATTTAAAAAGGGCTTTCCATCAAGAGGTTGACAGAGATATATTGAATGTGGTAGAAATGCAAAAGGGATAATCGCATTATCCTCACACTTTTAAAGGAATTCGAGTGTAAGATGCGCACCATAACCATCGAATATAAGATATCGCTTTTCACCACGATTTACCCGATGGGCAGTTAATTGGATAAAGTACCCTAGCCAGGCTAGGGCTAATTCATCAGAAATCCAGCCATTAGGAGAGATAGCCGTCATTGTATCTAGTGAGAGGGTCTCACTGCCATAAAACTAAGCTTCCATTTGATACCGGCCAGTCCCTTTGAATATAAAGAGAGGGTCCATCCACCAGCCGTCTGCAGCAATACACTCTAAAGCAGTAATATTTTCACCTCTCTCAGATTCAGCAAGGTCAGGGCAGGATGATTTAGCACCAATAACATTTCGATATCGGCCTTAACCAGGTTAAAACCCGCATTCATCGAAGTTATATACTAGACGAGCAGGAACGTTATAGAGAACGGTTCCTAGTAGGTCGTACCAGTGCTAAAGAAGTCCTACATCCTCTGCTTAGATTCGCCTTAGTTCCTTCGTCTTCTGCTTCACAGGGCCTAGACCAAGATCCTTTGGTAGGCGCTTTATAAAGGCGTATAGCCAATTCTTACCAACCCGCCGGTCGGGCTGACCCGATCGGGCCAGTGTACGATTTGCCCATACGCCTATTAACGCAGGGGTAGGTGGGAGGTTCCAGCCATGCATTTGGACTATCCAATTAACCAGGGCTTTCTCCTGGTATAGCTCCAGGACATTTTTGAGCGATTTAGTGGGTGTAATAGGCGATTTAGCCGCATCAACGCGTCTGGTCAAGGTCTTGCGATCGACGCCGAATTCACGCGCAATCTTAGTGATATTCGGCTTCTTTTGGGAGAGGACCATTTTGCATGCTTCTTCAATGCAAGATTCATTGAAATTAATAGATTTAGGCATGGTTGGTGGTTGAATTGGCTAGTAGAAGAGTACTTGTGGGAAAAAGGTCAGGATTGCGGAAAGGTCAGGATTGCGGGCGCACCCAAACGCGGAAGCGGTTTGGGTGGGCAGAAAGGCACTGATATATTCTGAGAAGCGCGGCAAATTCATGCGCCACAGCGACTGACTCCCCGCCAGGAACTGTTGTGTTACCACATGCGGTTATCACAGCACATTTATACCTGGAAACCTGTAAACTTAGGCACTTTCCCCAAGTGCAGCCCCACTAGACTAAATATTAAAATAGCGCTTTCCTAGATTCTTCATTATTCCTCCTTCTCTACCAATTTATTCCTCCAATAATGACGTTCCCATTTCATGATCCTACTGCTACCAGTGCAACTCTCTTGGCCCACATGTCACCTCTTGTATCAATTCATGAGAGTAACAATCTGTCTATGAATGCCAATCCATTATATCCTTTTCCTAACCATTCGTGGGCCCCGTTTGATCCAACTCTTGGATGGTATTACCCACCGGCTCAACTCGATCCTCGTCTTTTTACATGGCCGACGGTGAACGACATCCCGCTGGCTAGTCATGGGACTACCTTGACTGACTCTTTTCACACTGAAAACCCCTCGTGCATGATGAGCCTGGGCCACACCAAGACTCAAGACTCTCAATTTGAAGATACTGCTGCTGCTACTCCCATTACTACCAGCAATTCAACTGGTCAAATTCGGGAAACGATAGTCGACCAGAACATAAGTCCCCAGGAGCAGACAGCCTACACTCTTCAGAAGACAAAGATAACTAAGTAAGCTTGCTCCCTTAATCATAATAGCTACTTGATTATTAAGTCTATCTAACACTCTACAAGGCGTCATTCTAGCTCGAGCGAACCTGAAATTTTCAAATGCAAATGGGAAGGGTGTATATACGATGGTACATTCGGGGTCAAGAGTAGTCTTTGGCGACACATCTAATCGACCCACCTCGCCCCAGACTCTCTCAAATGTCCCGCACCTAGGTGCAAGAAGACTTTTGGGCGCAGGGACAAATACAATGCGCATGTTCGCCTTGTTCATCGGGACATGGCAGACTTGACTTTTACTGATTGATCATCGTGGATGTTCTTGCTTCCGTTGATAATTTTTTGGTTTATTTTCTTTTTACTGGTTTGTGATTTAACAAGGAATTTTACTGTCAGCACTCTACTATAATTGATCTTACCAAGCTTCTAAACCATTAGTCTTCCTCCGAATCGTTTAGATTTGAAACCCCAGATCTTTTCGTGATAAATAAAGGGATATCCAATGATGTGACTGATGGAATCACGACTACTATGATGTCTATGAGGTATCATACCGTAGAAAGGTACAGCGAAAATAGTGTGCCCACCGACAGAGAAAGGAAGATGACAGTCACCTTTATCGATTTAGTCTATTTTCCTCTGAGAGACAGTAAGCTAGTTGCTGGCAGCCTACTTTAGTCTTGAAGAGCAATCTCAATTCAAACTTATATAATTCGTGATTGTTTCACCCTTGGTTAAGAAGCGGCTTCAATTCGGTTAATTCGTGTACTGCTCCCGTGAGGGATAGCGAACTCTTGTTAAGCCCGGTGACCTTATTATAAATATGGGGAGCTCTTGGATAATTTTCAGTGATATAACTAAGGAGGGATTCCAACTTCTCCCATGGAATGTCGTGCCTATGACTAATAGGTGTTTCCATGACCAAGTCTTCGTCGTAGACATGTCGCCATCAAATATATTGGTCTCTGGGCGTTTACATCACTACGGAGCAGGTCGATTTCCGTAAATATAAAACTTGGGCTCACTAAGGAGCGAGAAATCCATCCTTTTGAGACAGTCGTGGCCACGTGGGTCACATTTAAGGTTGATGGCAGCGAGAAGCCCATACAAACCTTAATCTCACAACTATATAAAAAAGCATATGGTTTTTATATCTTAATGTAGCCGATTCTGCATCTTATATAGTTTAGGCTAAGGCTAATGGGGAAAAGCTAGTCATCAGTTATTAGAAGTTTCCGCGACTTCACGGCTCTGCTTATCTCATGGGGAATTAGCGCAGTTGATGGTGAAAAGTATACAAACTTATGATTATTCCAAATATAATGGACAGATAATCCAAAGTAGATACCAATCCCACAGCATTTCATCCGCACATACTCAGGGCTGCCATTAAGCATGTACTACCGTGATGGTGATGTCGGTTTTGCAAAGAATTTACAGTTCGTCTATGTAATATTTAGTGAGGAAGCTTTGCTAGCCTTTCACACGGCCAGTATTAGATTCGGTCCAATGATACTGAGTTGCTCCACCTCGAGCAATATGAGGAAAGAAGGCGTTAGTACGGTGGGCGCTATAGTTTCATGGGGTGGTTCACTTAGATAACCTCGCCAACCTACCTTAGTCATACATGGGTAGAAATTTTAACAGTAGAGGGGCCAACTAAACTATTGAGCCTTTTTTGGGGAGCCGCAGTAGGCAGGTAAGGGGTTAAGGGAGCAGTGCTAGGCTAAGACGAGCCTGATGTGGGAGGCTGGCTGCTATTGATTCACAAGAGAAAGGATCCCATCAGAGTCAACGGTATACGTAAGTCCTTATTCAGTGCCTATATATAAGGTTCAATGTTATCCGGCTAGATGTATCTATACTTAGCAATGGGTTACCTCGTCACCGATTGGAAAGCTAGGGATAGGGATAGTAAACAGATATAGAAGTATGCTATATCGGAACACATCCCGTTTACACTCAGACCCGCTTTATTAAATCATGTTAATAGATAAGAGCCACCGATAGCTACCTTAAAGGCGAGAGATGTAAGTAAATACTATCCTAGGAGCATAAAAATTCCTAAGGCTAGAGATAGAAGAAGAAGAAGAAGAAGAAGAAGAAGAAGAAGAAGGAGTGGACCCAAAGGTTTTATTAGCCTAAGTGAAGCCCCTTCTGTATGGCTACTTAGAACAAGTAGACTATAAATAGACCATATTATAAAGCACCCACTATTTTTTAAACATAGCCTGTGCTTAGTACTAGAATTTCTGTTATTTTAATGCTGGAAGAACTAGCGCACAATACTTTCGTAATGTGACTGCCCCGGAAATGCCCGTAGATTAGTATGTACCATGTGCAGATCCTTCGTAAATTCCCCTATGCAAGAAATACATTCTTGTAAACTATTCCAACGTACAGAAATATCGTAATCATAAAAATATTCAATATTGCCAACCCAAATCCTGCTCGAATTCAAGCCTCCATCGACGCCTGATGTAATCTCACTGTCACGGGATCAGCTGGACAAGAAGTAAGTGAAACGCCGTAACGAATCTCTCTCTCGGAGTGCACATCCTCAATCTTATCAAACTTCTGCAACAATCTCACCAGAACATAACTAGACCTCATCAAAGCAAACTGCTGTCCAATACATGTTCTGGGTCCCCCATTGAACGGAATGTACTCCCAGGTGACCTTCCGGCCGAGCCACCGGTCCGGATTGAAGATTTCAGCATCCTCCCCCCAGATATCTTTTCGACGGTGGAGGATGTAGGTGCTATACATGACGGTACGGCCCTTCTGAATGTAGATGGGGGAGCTACCGTCTTTCCCACCGCCACGAGGGAGTGTAGTATCCTTGATTGCGGAACGGCGGTTGAAGGGCACAATCGGGTAGAGACGAAGGGTTTCATTGAGAAAGTGCTGAAGGTACTGACAGGATTTCAATGACGCAAAGTCCATGTTAAGTGGCTGGTCGTAAGTACCGAATTGTTCGAGGATATCCATTCGAAGTCTTGCGAAGATGTGCGGGTGTCGTGCGAGAAGGAGGATCGTCCAGCTCAGTAGAGAAGCTGTTGTGTCACGGCCTGCCAGTAGGACGTTTAGAGATTCATCGCGCAACCTGACGGGGTCTTTAGTAGTACTAGTCAAGGCTTTGAGGAATATGTATTGCGATTTAAGCTTTTCGGCGCCCTGGTCTTCATCTTCTTGCTCCTGCGCCTGCTTCAGCGCAGAGTGAACATATTCGTCCACGAAGGAGTGCACAATGTTGATGCACTTCCGAAACTCTCGACCGTAGATGACCCAGTAGAGCCGCTCAAACCGGAGTCGCTCTGCGAGATACCACATGCACCGGTCAAACCCGTAGAGAAAGGTATCATCAGAGGCCTGTCCCACTTCCTTTTGCAGAGCAGCATTCTGACTATCACAGCTTTTACCGTAGAGGAACTCTGTGGCCGAATCAAGGGTAAGACGGAAGAAAATGGCTTGAATATCCACTGCAGAGGACCAACCATCAGACAGTATCGGAATGGCACGCAACGCATTCTGAACATGGCGTTCTTCCCTGTCAAGATTGCTCATCTGATCCCGCGTAAATTGGGGCCGTAGCAGTGATCGGGAACGCAACCAACTCTCGCCATCCGCAGTAAACTAGGGCTGTCAGTCAGCCTCCTCAACCACGCATCCCAAGAGAAAAGTGTCACTTCGGCACGGGGGAAAGACTCACGATTCCATGACCAACAACAGGATTAGCTACATTGCGACGCACATCACCTAAACCGAATTCCTTAAATTGAGTCGCCAGCATAGCCTGGATATTCTTGGGATCTGCCGTCAACAGGTTCTCCCGACCAGCCTGGCATATACGAAAGGTAGAAACGTATCTGTCATGCTGACGGGATAGGAAAGCCATCCGCCTCTCAGCTAGTTGTGGGAGCAGCTTCTGTCGCGCGGCTTCAAGGTTTTCGAGAAGGGTGGAAATACCGAAAGGGTCCTGGCTGGGATAGAGAGGTGCTTCTCTACAGCCTATTCTGCGAGCTCTCTGGGCATGACGCCAAGTGGAATAGACGGAGAGAAGCAGAGGCCCCGCGACGGCGAGTACCAAAATGGCTGGAACTAACCAGCTTTGCATGAGGACACTGTTAGGGGTACTGGAAGATGAGGTGTTGAGATACGCTTTTGAGTCGGACATACTGTGAGAGGTGAAGAAGAAGAGGTGTCTGGCCGACATGAAGCAGGAGAATTGAATAAGCCTAATAATTCTATATCTATATACCCAAGTGACAAAAGGGGCCAAAAGGCATCGGCGAGTGAATTCATCGGCAGTATTCTGTCCCAACATTGGCGTAACAAACCCTGCTGTAACTAATTATTCAGAAATTCCCAGACGATATTTTTCCCAGTAGTGTATCAACCATATTTCAGTCCAAATTTAGCTTAAAAACCAACAGGCCCCTAATCCTTGAAAGATAAGATGATGGAACGCCTTAATAATGCCCTGCGACTGCCACTCTACCCAATACCCCCACCTACCGTGAGCGGTACATATTGCCTAATCAGACAGTCTCTAACGATCTTGGCTGCCCATTTAGCGCAACTAACATTTCTCTTGGCATGTCGACCGTGAAACTTCTCGGGGCTGTGCAGTGTCTCTATGGTGCCAGGTGTCCTCGCCTGGAAAACAAAACAGAGACTTAGCGCTGGAATAACTGTCCTGGCGCGATGCAAATGATATCATTCTTTCAAGACCACCGCTCTAGCTTAGATGTCTTCTTGAGTGGGTAGCGGGTCAGGGCAATTTGGAAACAATAAGGGCTAGGATCAGATTTAAAATAGATATTGACGAGTACAACGAACGAACTAATTAGTATCCCTGTCTCTATTGCATTAGAACTGCCACTGAATGGAATATAATGCGCTGCGTGTCCCACATCGGCTCCCCCTTGGGGTCCATATGGAAAGGTCATCTGTATCTACAAGAACCGCCCTTCCCTTATTCCCAGTGCTTTCTGCTGGCGCATACCTATTAGCTCCTTAATTGTCAAGGCCTGTATTTTATCACCAATATCACGATGTCATCTTCAGGCAAATACGAGACCTCATTGTCGTCAGAGACTCATCCTCGAAGCCACATTCCGGACTGGAAGTGGAAGGGAACTCTTACAGTCCTCGTTCTGACAACCCTCATTAATGGTCGGTCGAGCCCATAACACCAGGCGTACCCCAAATTGTTAATCTGAAAATGCCGTTGTTTAGGCTATGATGTGAGCAATGTGGCCAACATCCAGCCCGCCCTTTACAAGGCCTTCGGCAACATTACGCTTCTGCCATGGATCGGCCTGTCCTTCAGTCTTGCTATGTTTGCTGTTTTGTCCTTCTCCCGGAAGATCATGTATTGTGTCGACCTGAAATGGATCTATATTGCTAATGTTGTGATCTTTATGGCTGGTGCTGCTGTAGCTGGTGCAGCATCCGATCTCCCTGCGGTCATAGTTGGCCGGGTCATCATGGGTGTCGGTGGTGCTGTCGTTTACCAAAGGTCTGTTACGATCTCCTCCTGATGTTGGTAGGCTCATAGATCTCACAGTAACATAGCAACTTGACATTTGTTGCCGTCTTTGCCACGCCCGATGAGACTCCTCGTCTATTCGGTCTTCTGAGCGCAACGTGGGCTGTGGGTCTTGTTCTTGGAGGTCCTATAGGGTCCGCTCTTGCCTCGAACAGACACACTACCTGGAGGTGGGCTTTCTACATGAACCTACCTTGGGCGGGTCTCAGTCTTGCACTTGCCATTATCTGCCTTCCTCGCAAATACCTAGGGCCAGACAGTTCGTTGCTCTCCAGGTTGATGGCGATAGACCCCATCGGCATTGCGTTCAACATGGCGGCCCCGGCACTATTTGCCCTTGCACTGGAGTTCTCCGGTCCTGTGTGGCACTGGGGGTCTGGCGCATCCATCACAGTCTGGGTGATTTTCGGGGTGGTTCTGATTGGATGGGTCGTCCAACAATATTGGTGCATTGGCACGACTTCTGAGCAACGCGCCATCCCCATTCACTTACTCGGCCGAGTTGATCTGCTTCCACTCTGGATCGCGTCTGGCTGTGCGGGTGCTTCGTATGCCATCACACTCTACTACATGCCACTCTTCTTCGCATTTGCTCACGGCCACGATGCCATGGGGCAAACTATCCGCCTTCTTCCTTTTGTTCTAGTTTTCATCACCGTGGTCATGCTCGTCGGGGGGTTGCTCCCGGTCTTTGGCCGTTATAACTTGATCTACATCGTCGCGGGCATTGCAACTGCCGCGGGGGCCGGTGCTATGGCTGGCACCCTGAGTCCTAGTGTCTCCGAATCCCAGGTGTTAGGCCTGGAAGCACTCATTGGCATCGGTCTTGGCTGTTCGTTCCAGCACGGGGTCGGTATTTCGAATGTGATAAACAAGAACCCACGCGATCGTGTCGACAGCGCGGTCATGTTCAACATGGCACAAATGGGTGGAATTGTAATTGCTCTGGCGGTTGCCGGCTCTATTTACCAGAATGTTGGATACAGCCTGCTGACAGACGCCATTGGGGATAGCGGGTACTCAGAAAAAGACCTGCGTGAAGCGCTTGCAGGTGTATCGTCAGCAGTGTGGCAGTCCGGCAACCCGGAGGTTCGTTCTCTTGGGATTGATGCCGTGGCCGAGGTGATTGGACGGGAGTTTTATGTGGTGGTGGCCGGAGGTACAATCTGTCTCCTCTGTGGGTTGGCGATGAAGTGGGAACGATTGGATTATAACAGGAAAAAGAGCAGCGATGCCGAAACGTGAACGCTTCAGTTCTCAGGTTATTTTATTTTTAGCTACGACTGCTCCCATCGGCATACATCCTTCTAAGCCTGCCACAGGATACAAATTGTCGGATTCCCCTTGCCATGCAAATTCTTAGGATCTTTCACTTACGATGTAGTCAATTATCAATCAAATGATGGGGCCTGAATGTGTGTGGTGAAGCTTTGTGAGGCCATCAATATTCCTGTCCCAAAATCTATTACCATGCTTTATTCATAGCTTCTCAGAGCAGTAGAAATTGGCCACCATGTGAAACAAGACCCGTCCGCTCCCCGTAGATCTACAGTAACATCACCTCCGCATTTGGATGATACATCCATAGAGAGCCCTAATCCACACCTTCAAGTGGGGAATTTCTGGCAATATCTGGTGCTCAAGAAATGGCAGCAAATGAATCAGCTTGTGAAGGGTGGGAACAGAGGTTTAAATGTGGCTTTGTGGGAAATTATACCAGTAAATGGGGGCTGAGAGTTGGTTTTGTTCGTCTATGACAGGGCAGCATCAAGCCACCTGGAGTCGAAACGATCATTCATCGAATATTAATCTTACAATTTTTAGCTCGAGGCTTGCCAGCAGGCTGATCCCATACGAGCGAGGGGACAGGGTTAAACGTTTGTCTAACTGTTTTATTCTCAGATCGGCGCTAGACGTTAATGTTCCAGTGCGTGTACAGAAGAATAGAGAAATCGGAAAGACAATAACAATTATAATCTGACGTAGCATATGGTAGAAGGGTTTCGAACAAGTGACCTCGCCAACGCAGACTCAACACAGATCGAATCCTAGCGCCATATTTAAATCTAGATGTTACTATCGAACATAAGATCGTGGTTAAGGAAATTGGTCGACTGCGACGCACCCAAGGATGAAAGACCCCTACCATTAGATCCGATTTTCCCAGGAACGCAACAAAAAGATTCGTCTCATCAAAAAGCCGGCGCAGAGTCTAATGGCATCGAAGATAACCCACACAGTATATACCGTCTAGCTAAATAGGCAAGAAACTGCATAAGCCTAAAAAAGGTCTATTCCACAAAATATCTAGACCCCCTAAAGAGTAAACGAGCTCACATAGATAGTTAAATATCCCAAGAGTACCCTGCTTACGGAATAAATGCGAAGGAAAACAGATAATCACTGAATCACTTGACTTAGCGGTAAAATATCCTCCCCCACTTTACATGATTTTACACAGATGGCCTTGCCTTGCTGTCCTTGTGACACCATGATCTTGACTAAGGACTAGATGTGATAACTATAACCCTCCGTGAAGTTGGTGACGTTATGGAATATGGCTAATATCCAATCTTCCGAGAGTTGCGTGGGGGGCTAGTACGCTTTGGCAGCATCGAGCTGGCTGTTTTGCAGTTCGAAGGCTTCGACCATTGATTGAAGAGACGCAACAGATACCGGTATGGGTGTTCGGCCTTGCAGCAAGTTCCAATTTGGAACCCTTTGGTTGGGAAGAGATTCATGCGGGTCGGCAATCTCGCAGATCAGCCTATACCCAGACTTGAAATGCATCTGTGCCTCGGGGTATTTGTTCTCCAAGCAGCAAATCGAGGTGAAAAGAATACTAAGGGTAAGAACCCGCCACAAGCCATCGGGTGAGTACGACTTTAAAAGGGTTTGAACAGCTAGGTTATAGTGCTGAAGGGTGTGCAAGTTGTCAGGCGTTGCCGACGTGCTAGCGGGTAAAATGGAAACAGAAGACTCGTGAGCATATGCGAGGCTAACAATCGCATGCCAGATTGCATCGTCAAAGTAGCAGGTTCTAGGAATTTCTGTTTTCCAGAACGTAGAATTAAAGGTGCCCCCTAGAGAAGGCGCTGTTACATCAATGAAGAAACGGAAGCTGCGCAGTTCCTTGGGACTTTTTCCAGGGAGAGCAGGAATGGGATTAAAAGCAGTCGTCTGAAGGGCCCATATTGGACGGTTTTGTGGCCTGGGGAATTCAGAAGCTGGTGTGCAAGCATAGCCGTTACACTTGTGACTAGTGGAGACACACAGCGTGCATGCCGGCCTCTCCTCGTCGGAACGTCCTTTCCGGGTCCTATTTATGGTGGTTTAGTCAAAGCTGGTCACCAATTACTGTTTAAGGGGGCGTACCTGCAGGTCTGATACCCACTTCCACCTCTAATGAGGTAGGCTCGTGTGGCGATGGTGTTAACGACTCGTGGCTGGCTGTCACCCGCTCTGCGGGCTATTCGGGGGCAACAATAATGGCCGACCTCTCCATAGCATGCTCGTTCGCCTTCGAGGAGGGACCGTTCAGTGCCTGAAATTTGAAGCGCCGGACTCCATTATCGACACATAGAATCTGTAGGCGAGTACATCGCGAACATTTGGGTTTCGATTCATCACACTTTTTCTTTTGCTGCCGACACGCCTCACAGGCTCGACTTGTTGGAACACCAGGCATTGAACACTCAGCAGCCTCATACACTTTTTGGTCGAATATTTCCTCTGATTGAGATAAGGCACTAGAATGGAAACGTAAACCAAAACCGATGTCCAGTATCAGTCTTTGTTTGGCCGTACGTTGCAGTTTCTAATGGCGGAGGTAAATATGGGAGAAAAGGATGGGTGGAGAGCAGAGGTGGCGCCGCCATCTGACACCGCTTACAGTTCTACTATGCCGAATTAGGCATATTTGCTGTTAGGCCATCGTGACTGGACTGGAGGGACACCTTGTGCTGTAAGCATAGTGGCTTCAGGAACCAACCAAAGTTCCCGGAGCAGGGAACTGCTCCTGCGAGAGGTGGGGCGTTTGATGTTAGCTCTTGGCAAGTCTGTTAGTCTCGTTTTAAATCTGGAGAGCTCTCGAGTAGTTTTCGGTAATATGAGCGAGGAGGGGTTCCAAATATTTCCATGGAAGGTCATGCCTATGGCTAATAAATGTTCCAGCTACTTTTCGTACTACAGTGTGGAAATGACAACCTTTTATTCCCATGATAGTGGAAATTTTCTTGTCTGCGAGAACCCGAAACGGCCCCTTTCCCACATGGCTCACCGTGCACATCGTCCGCTGATTCACTCGGAGCGCCCAGGCACTCTCTCGATTCTGTCGACGATGGGAGGTCGCCAACGGGACCCAATACATCTAAAAGAGCTAGCTTAAGTTTAGGCTGTAAAGCGGCTTACGCATAGAATAGTACCAGCCCCGCATACTTCCACGAAGTCCCATTAAACGATCGAAGGACCTGAAAAAAATGAGCGCAGATAATCAAATCCATCAGTTGTCACAATTTTCTCCGATCTAGGGCATTCATAGCCCGGATTATCTTCTTCAACAAATTCACGATATTACGCCCGTAGATTCTTATGCGCTAAGGACATGGAAAAGATTCTTATGACGGCTCGAGCTAATACTTTTTAGCCTAAACGATTTGGCCACCGTTTTGAGCCTCGCTTTAGGGTTAAACGGTCAAGTCACTACTATTATATAGGGCTCTTGAAGTCTTATTATGAAGCTAGGGAATAGTATTTATCTATGAAAGTACCTTACTTAGCTTACTAATATGCACGGCGACCTAGTCCTCCCCAAAGTTCTCGATATGCTTGAAGAATTAGGCCGTGCACTACCTCGGTTTCGGAAACATGAATATGAACTCTAAGCTACTGTAGAATTAAAAGACGCTCTTTTGGCTGCGTATACTAAGAATATCGTGTTCTACGTATATTCGTCAATACTCTAGAGGGGTTGATAAAATAGATAATATACGCCTTATAAGGGAGGCCTATACTGCTAACATTGTCGAGGTAATTGAAGGGCTGAGCTGTTAAGACAACTACTTGCAGGGTAAAAAGCCTATTGATCAGGTAAGGTTGAAAAGCGCCAAGTCAAATTCGTGGCAAGGCTGTTTCTTGACGAGTTCGAAGCCAACCCCTCATAGCACCAATTTATGTAGAGTCTTCTCACACAAAACAGGAAAGTACCAGATAGATCAACCTAGAGAGAGATGGGACGCCTGAGCTGAAAGGTTGTGTCACTAGTTGACGTAGCCTGCATGTTTCCGGTAGGGCTCCAAGGAGAAGTTAGGGGCTGAAACAAGTCTGTGGACGCCTGCATGCGGGGTATCCCGGGATAGGGTAGCTAACTCGATTTTCTTGATTGCTCGGATGTTAAGTGACGGTGAGGCGGTCTTACCTGCGAAGCTGTTACGAAAAGTAGACCCGGCTATGATTGTGTACATCACTAAATATAAAATTAACTCCTATTGCTACTAATAATATATTCGAAATTGGCGTAACTAGCCTTCCGTCAAGTTTCCCGAAATTAGTCTCACTGCTCCTAATATCTAATTGAATAACAGCTACAGAGATTCTTCCCCAGAATCATAATTTGATATAGCATTGGGATATAACTCACCATGTTCCGTGATGTTTGTGATACTAACAGACGTATTCTAGATTGTTTGGCTTGTTCAGAAAATCAATCTAACCATTTCTTGGGCATTGATTTAAAAACATTACCTTGACTGATCTACAACCTTGAGGTATAGAAACAGTGTGTGTTTGTTCAGTGAAATATAATGATGTTAAGTGAATGGTTTGAAGTCAAATTCTGGATAGTCATGATATGCTTATTGGCGAGGTGGTTTCCTTCATTAGCAAATTCCGGCATTTCAAGGTTATAGCCACTCCCCAGGTACCTGATCCCCCATCAATGTCGCTTGCAAAATAATCGGTCAGTTGTTGCCCCTTCTCTCCCAGTTAGAAGCTGTGGAATCTATCAAGTTGCTTGCTCGAGTAGTACTTTTGGACATTTAATGTAGCTTTCATCTCCTATTACGTTGAAGGACATCTCGGCGAATCGCGTCACCCTATACCGCAGAAAAAGGCTGACCCCCTATCCCTGTTCCCGAGCATATTGTAATCTGCCCTCTCGGCTAGAATCAAAACCCTATGATTTCATCACATCTTGACAATGAATTTATTTGCCCTCGCAGTGGAATCCTCTGGCCAACGGGGAAGGA